GAAATAGCCTTATTAAATACTTTGTTCGTTACATACAGTAGTTTTGTGTTCCCTTTAGTTGTTTGAGCAGTGTATAAACTACTGTATGTAAAGAACAAAGTATTTAATAAGGCTATTTCATTCATTCAGATCTCGGATGTCTTCTGCTTGTGTTCCCTTTATTTTTTTGAGCAGTATATATTTATATATACAGTGTATATACAGTACATATATACAATATATATATATATATGTGTGTGTATGTATGTGTGTGTGTATATATATATATACACACACATATGCACACACACACACATATACAGATCTACATGTACACACACACACACACACACACATATATAATGTTTGTGTATATATGGTATGTATGTATATACATATATACACAAAAATTTATATGTATATGTATACTGTGTATCTATGTGTGTATATACATATACATATACATACACATACACACACACTGAGCTATGTTCTATCAAATAGTTGATTTATGACTATCTATGGCACATGTCATGCTGTACCTGCTAGTGTCAAAGATTTTATCCCTTTGGGAAAGGAGATGGACATTTAAACATTTGCATATTTACTTGAGTAAATACCTGTATATTTGTCATTCTATTAGTTTAAATGTAAAGAGAAATACTTTAATCCATAAAAAGCTTTCAATAAACCCATGTTACATATATAAGCCAGATAATTTTCAAAGGAGCTTATAGTGAGGATCCATTATCTTTGCATACAGAGGTAATTGAACACTGGAGTCTAAAGGGTGAGTTATTCTGGCATTTTCTCGGTTGAGCATGAGTGGCATGTGATTCAGTGGTTGGTTGCCCGGGTTCGGATCAGTTCACAAGAACTGGTAGTAAAACTAGTGGGAGGCCCCGCCCACCACCCCGGATGTCATCATTGGCGATCTGCACATGCACGATCCCGTCGTGAACCGGTAGTAAAGGTAAGAACCCACCCCTGAAAAGATTGGTAGGACATGAAAAAACTTCCTGGACACATAACTATATAATTTCTTAAATCATATTACTTTTGTATTTAATTTGCTCAGTACAATAGGAAATGATCTCTAATTTTATCTAATTCTCCATCATGAGCTAAACTTAAAATTTATTTAAACAATGACAGCTATTTACATTCTATTGTTTGTTTTAGGAAATTTCCATTCTGGGTTTGTATGCTCTATGGAGCAAATCTGCCATTTAATTTTTATTTAACAAGCTATGATCTGTACATGGTAAATGTTATTATTGTTCAGATTTTACCTGGGCAAATTATCTATGCATATGTCTGTAGACCAGTTCTTCTTATTGAATCTGCCACAATTTAATAATAACAGACTAATAGCACAATCTTTGCAATTTACATTCCAACTTTACTCACTTGGGGCTACCTCTCCTAAGTGAGCATGGAAAGATGGTAAGATTTATTTTAAAAAGGTTATTTTAAATTCTGTGGATGAAGCAAGGGTGCTTCATTGCATAGGGCATTATTTCCTACTCAGATACTGACTGGACTAGGATTGCATTTTCTCACTTACAAAATAAATTGTGCATTTATTGTGTCCATAAAAAGAAATGTCTGAACAGCAAAAAGGCAACTTGGAAGACACTGTGCAGATTATATGCAAAAAATAAATGTATGGTCATCGTGCCAAAAAATAACCATTGTACTCCTAAGGAAAAGTTTCAGGGTGAGGAAAGAATCTCCTGTAGATACCAGCCATGCATTCATAACCCTTGAATATAAATTCCTCAACAGAGGCCTGAATAATTAGGCCCCTGCTGGGGGCATTGGAGACAACATGTCTGCTTCTCTGTAAACAGTGACACAGGATGGAGAGTTGGGGGTGGGTGGGTGAAGTCTTGTTTCTACAAAAGTAGGTAGTCTAATCTGGCAAATTTCATGAGAGAAGATTGTATCAATGGGTCTGGCTACTAACCCAGAGGAAAAAAAGATCCTATCCTGAGACAGATCTCAAATAATAAATTCCATGACCGATCAACTACAGATAGAGGGATTTTTTGGGGGTATGTGTGTTTCAAATGTAGCAAGGTTTGGGCAAAACATTCTGTGCATCTCATTGGCCTATGTTTCTGTCTATCTGTTTTAAACAGAGAACCGAGACAATCAGAAAAAAACGGTCAGGATTTATTTCAAGTCACTATTAAATAAGGACTTTGATTTCCATTATATGCAGGCAGAACTCATTTTACTTTGACTTTTTTCTACTTTGGGAACAGCCCATTTATAGTGATAAAACACTGAATTTCACAAAGTGATGCTAACAGGGTCACTCAGTACACAACAGAAACACCAAAATTAAATGTTGGCTGCCCCAAAGGCTGTCATTTCATGGCAGAGGAAAAGAGGATACTAATCAAATGAATCCTAAAGAATGAGAGAAAATATTTAAAAAGAATAATTTCAATTTAACAGTAGTCTTTATATTACTGGCTTAAACTAATGATATATATATTAGATCAATACAGATCTGATCATTTGAATTTATGCAGAATAATCATATTGTGATCTTTAAAAGTAAAGTCTTTATTTAGCTAAGTTTCTCTTCATTTGTCATTCATTTTACCCAAGCTCTAGAGCAGTATTTCTCAAGCTCAGCAACTTTAGATGTGGGAACTTCAGCTCCCAGAATTCTCTTCCCGAGACAAAATCTACACAACTTAAAAATTGCGAGAGAAGCATTGCTGGAGAGCTCTGGTGGACCAGCTAAAGATTCCCCTCTCCGCTCCCGGTCATGACTAACCAGATGCCTGTTAAAAGACATAAATACAGCAATACCTCCTGCTTATATTTAGAGGAAATTAGAATGACTTAGGAGAGATGAGTGGTGTAGAAATTTAAGGAATAAAATAAAATAAAATTCGGAGAATATATCTCTGGAAAACTATTGCTCTGTTTTTGCAAAACAAAAAATCCCATTCATTTTGTCTGCATGCACTGCTGGAAAGTAGATAAAGAATAAGCAGAAATCAATCACCATCACAGGGACATTTTCCTGTTATTTTTAACCTCAGCCATTCGTCATTTTCTCAGTAAGAAACAAGGAAACAAAACCACGCTTGGTCTACGTGCATTTGTTATATGTAACAGCTACATTTTAAGACATGTTTTAGGTGACAACTAAGCCCCAGTGAATGGTAGTGCTCTGCCACAGAATAATTTACTAGCAACCCTTTGTACATTTGTAATGTACATATGCCTTTTATGAAACAGACCAAGATATGTATTCAGGAACAGACAAAAATTGTTCTCAAGATTCAGTACATAAATTTCATCCATGCATTTCAGTATCAAAACAACTGTTGAACACCCAGGCAACTAACTCTTCAGAGCTTGATCTGATGTATCATTGTCTTGCTGTTGAAGTAATTTCTCATCTAAGCATTATCTCACATGCAGTAAAAATCACTCAAGACTTATTTCCAGGGAGATACATTCTGCATAACTGTATCCATAAAGGAAGTTTTGTGAAAATCTTTCTGAAAAATCAGTGTTCCTTTTTTTACTCCTCAGTTTATCGCCCCCTCCCTGCTACTCAAGTCTTCTTACTTTTTAAATCAAATCTAGGCTTCTTGGACCAGGGGAGGATGGCATCTTAAAAAAAAAAAAAAACTGAACTTGGGTTACTCCAGTCGTTTAGTAGGCACGTTTAATACACAGTGCTTATTGATGATTGCACTGGCTTATCCATGTTTATCCAAATGCACTAAAATCACTGCAAATTTGATGAATGCAAAACATTTTCTTTTGGGGTGTGTGTGGTGTGTGTACAGTGTTACTGTTCCAGGAAGAATCAGGTGCATGTAAGAAGCATTACAGGGCCATGGAAACAAAGCAAGTATAACATTGTTCCAATTTTTCAACTTGGAGGCATTATTTTTTAAAAAAGACATGCATGAGGAACTGAATGTATGACATATTGATCTGTTAACTGACATTTCTCATTATATAATAGAGGCTAAGACTATAATTGAATGGAACCATGTATCAAATAGCTATCAAATTAACTTACACCAAAGATTTCTGACACACGAAGAAATCAATGTAGTTAACTGGATTGTTACATGTAATTTCCATATTTTCACCACCCCAAAATTAACAGTTCTCCTCCTGTCCTGGCAACATGTGATCGCTGGTACCCTCAAATCAATTAGGAGACTTTTCTTTTTTTGTTTTTTTACAAAAACAGGTAGGAGACTGTCATTTCTTCTTTTTTTCAACTTTAGAAAATATATTTGTTAAGACCTCATTTTTGCAGGCCTCTAGAGACCAGTCTTGCAAGAGGCAGTTAAAGCTCCAATAAGTTATTCAGGCTTCATGGTCCACAAGGATCTTAGTTGATCCTCTGAATTGCTTTTAGCATGTAGACAAGAAAACCAAACATAGTCAAACATGTTGTGTGAACGTGACCATCCATATGGTGGTTTGGAATAGAATGGATTGAAACAAACTTCCAGAATATGAGATTTTACCTCAGCTAGAGAGAACTGAAACATTTGCCTTTTATGAATTCTGATGTAAACCTAACAGATCACAATATATTAATCTTGATTTACAAGGCTTTATATCTGCCAAATACACTAATTCTTGACTCCAAAGATGCATTAAAACACATTTAATTTAAAATTCATGTTTAGAGAAAGCAATTAGAAATGAGTAATTTATATTAATATAAATGTGTAAATTATATTAAATGTACACTTCCGTTCAGATATTTTGAAAAGAAATAAATAGCTTCTTGTCTTTAATTTTATATATTAAAGCAGAGAATGGAGCTGATGTATCAATGAACACATATAAAAGTTACCTGAATCAAAAACAGACCAATTTACACATTCCTAACAATGTAATAGTGAACTGATAGAATAGTCTTCTGGTAAGAAACATTATGAAGTTGAAAAAGAGGAACCTCTAATAAATTGTTGCATTTACAGTTTGAATATACACTCATAAAGAGAGTTAGACAGACACACTATTTGAAAATATTTTAATGTCATATAATACCTAAGTTTTCTTCCACTGGAAGAATCAATATTGCAACAGATAAAGTTTTATACTGCTTAAATCTGATTCAAACAGAAGTAGTATTTGTGCAACATTACTGTATACTAGTTTTGATTAACAATAACTTAACCTTTGGTTTAACGTGGAGCTAATATTTGAAACACCACTGGTGTTTTTGGTTAATAATTGGATGGGAGAATACTAGGAAACCTTCAGGGGGGTAGAGAGGCTAGAATGGGAAGTTGAGGGAAAAATATCAAGGTGGCAATTGGAAATTATTTTCATAGTGCCACCAAAAAAAAAAAAAAGAGTATATCTCTCAGGTGACTAGGAATTGAGCTCACTTAAAGATTTTGGTTTTACTTTTCATTGATGCAGATTTGTTTACAACTAGGCACAGAAGCATTCTCAGTGTGGTGCTCTTGAAATATCTTGGGACTGCAATTTTTAATATGGGAGCCGAAATTCAACTATTTGAGGGGCAGCAGAAATGGCAAGGTTGAATTAGGTCTTATTCGAATCCTTAATAGCAAAACATCTGCATCTTTTCTCCTTGATATTATCTAGCAAACACTATTGGAATGAGGTAATTAAGGGTGATTTTACCATAGAACTGTTAACTGGAATTTTATGAAAAAGAAGTAAATATCCTAAAGCATTCCTGTTAAACAGGTAAATAAATAGTAGAAATGCAACAACAGTCTTTGTTTTTAGCCTTCTCGCATTCTGTAGATCCATCTGCAGGATTTCCAGTCCAAATAAGTGAGAGCTTCAAAGTTGATAGAAAACCTTTGTGCTGAACCAAGTGAAAAAGCAGCCTAGTAGAAGAATAAGAAAGCATATTGTTTGCTGTAATCTTGGACAATTTGAAGTTAAATAGATGAATTCCTCTTCTTTATTTAAAGCTGAGAAAAAAAGGGGGAAGGGCTAGTTAGGGAAATTTGCATACAAATTCTTTCAACAATACTTAGTAATTTCCTCTAAGGTCTTCTGGAAGTACTTAAGTAAAATACTAAATAAGACAGGATAGAAGTCAATGGCTGTTGAATTCTCAGAGGAGAGGTGCAAATGGGACCCATAGGAGCCTTTGAAACCAATTAATGGTAACTTATCAGCATTAATCACATCACAATCAAAAGTAAATACAAATCACTAGTTAAGAAGCATTGCTAATAAAGAGGATTGTACTTCTTGGCCCTTCCGTCCCAGGTAAGGAAAACAGAAAACAAGATGAGATTAACACTTATAACTTGTTGACAAGACTCCATCAAATATTGTACTAGAACTCACTAGCAATCACACACATTCCTAACATGATTACTGGAAGCAAGATTTAGATTAAGAAAAGTGGTGCTAGATAAATGGCTTACAAAAATGTTACATCATGATTGTATTTTTTTTTTGGCTTTTTTTTAACAATGATAACATATTGTTGACTAGACTTTCTAACTTATGTTTCACATAAGGTGATTTGACACAGCCAGTTTGGTGTGGTGGTTAAGTTATCAAGTTGGAAAGAAAGTTGGTTCTAGTCCTGCTTTAGGCATGAAGCTAACTGGATGACCTAGGACAAATCTTTCTCTCTCTCAGCTCTTGGAAGGAGGCAATAGCAAACCATTTCCAAAAAAACCTTGCCAAGAAAACTACAAGGACTGGCCAAGAGAGTTGCCAGGAGTGAACAATGACTTAAAGGCACACAAAAAAGGTGTATTGCTTGACCTAATAACTGCCTGAACTGACCATATGACTGCTAATACAAAATCAAATCATCCCATTTATGAGTGCACTGATGTTACCTAGTTTGGATGATGATACTCTAACAAGAAAACAATTAAGCTCAGAGAGCACCAAGGACCCTTCATTTCATCCATGAGCTACAAATATTCTCCTTTATTGATCTCATTTATGTAAAGTAGCAATAGGATAAATGTGGTATGAGACAAATTCTTATGTAAAGTGTGTCCTGTCCCTCCCAAGGTTTCTGTGCCACAACAGCTGCAGCGGGGACAGAAAAGCTAACAAGTTCTCCTGCAAGAAGTCTGCTTCATCTCATGAATGTTTGCTTGTGATGTTTGTAAATGTAGATTGTGGGGGAGCGAAAGTGGATGCTTTTTAAATGAACAATTGCAAGGAATATCTAGAAACAGCTCTGTCATCTCAGTTATATAGGGGAAAAAATATTCTTAAGGGCTTTTTTCGCAGACAGAGTCTCTCAGCATAGGAAGCAAGTAATGGCAAAGCACTTCTGGAATCTCACCAAGAAAACTGCAGGGATTTTCCCAGGAAGTTACCAAAACTGACTTGAGGGTATTAAAAAAAATACTCTTCCCCTACCTCCACCCAGGTTTGGGAATGCACAGTAAAAAATAATAATAGTGCACTTTTTACATATAAATAGAAGGTAGGCATGAGGAGAGCTAGTTCCTTTTCAAACTGAATTGCCCAACCTATAGTGAAAAGACAATAAGGTATTTGAATTTGGGAGATATACTGTATAACTACCTTTAAAAAACAATGAGTACTCAAGACCCTGAAGGAATCATTATGATAATTGCTTCTCTCAACTACAGATAGTCCTCAACTTACAACCGTTCATTTAGTGACCAGTTACATCACTGAAAAAAAGTGACTTATGGTCATTTTTCACACTTACGACCATCACAGCATCCCTATGGTCACATGATCAAAATTCAGATAGCTGGCAACTGATTCACATTTATGATGGTTGCAGTGTCCTGGGGTTCATGTGATCACCTTTTGTGGCCTTCTGGCAAGCAAAGTCAGTGGGTAAATCAGAAACAAGTAACTGATTTAACGACCGCTTTGGTTCACTTAACAATTCTGGCAAGAAAGGTCGTAAAATGGGACAAAACTCACTTAACAAATGTCTCACTTAGCAACATAAATTTTGGGCTTACTTGTAGTCGTAAGTCAAGGACTACCTGTATTCAGGTAGAGCAGGTAGTGACTTAGGGCCATTAGGAGGGGTGGCTCTAAAAATTCAGTCCTAGGCCACCAATTATGAATTAGTATCTGTAACATCTGAGAAGGCGTGTCTTGTCTAAACCTGATCTAGAAGGTGTGGCTACACTAAGCCCTCTTTGAGAAGAAAAAAATTCCCATTTATATAGACAACTGCTGTGACATTTTAGAAAGTGTTTCATATAAAGTGGATAGATAGAACAAAGCGCTACCTCAACAAGCTCACAGAAATCGTATTTGGATTTTAACTCAGGGAGAAAAATTCAACAATTCAAGAATAGCCCATAAGAATTCATGTATAGCTTCTCTTTTAGTCTTTTGCAATGAGAAGTACAAAACTATTGAGATCTTAAAGGCTGACAATTAAATAACCTAAACTTCATTGCAGAATAATTTATGATTTATAAATGTGTTCATGTTTCAGATATAGGACTCTTGATTTCTTTTCTTTTCTTTTCTTTTATTAACTACAGGCGTATTTTGCCCCAGTGATGTATCTTCTTACCACAGTTTTGTCTTTGTTCAGATAAACACTTAAGAATGCCATAAGCACATCGACAGAGCTGGCAACTCTTCCATATCCATTCTCCATGCACCAATGGGCCACAGTTGCTGCCAATGACAAATCAGAAGATGCAACCTTATTTCCAAGTTTCATTGACAAGCCACAATCACCCCAAAATTTAAGTATACCTTCTTTACCTTTTCCGTTCATCATGCTCGCAGTATCGGCCAACAAAGTATTGGGGGCATGCACAGAAACTGCCCAGAATGCAAGTTCCTCCATTTTTACAACAGTGCCGGTTAAGGGTCCGACCTGAAAAATGAATAGCCCATAGTTGACAAAGAAACAGACTTCTTTGAACCTTCTTTTTCACTTGCTTTTGCCAAGTCTTCCTAGCTGCCAAAGGCCTGGTTCTATTGGCCTTAAGGGGACCATAAAATTAGCTGCCTGTTAAGGCTGTTTGTTCAGCTAAACCCAGATTGTTTAGATAAGGATTAAAAGCAAACTGCTAGAGATTACTGCATGGCCAAACACTCCCCCCCTTCCATATGACTTGTTCTACTGAAGAAGCTTCATGTCAAACTGCAAATTTCACTCCAGCAGAAGGTAATAATTGTACTAGCTTTTGAAAATAGCAGTATTGATATTTACCCATGGAAAGAAAATAAACATTATCTTTTGCCCAATGTGCAAAGATTTATCATTTTATTTTAGCTAAACTAAATAAAAACATTCATATATGTATATGTATATATTCTATATACATATACACATGTATATATACATATATCTCTATTCTATATCTATTCATGTATAACTATAATAAAAACATTATGCTGCAATATGCCTATCTCCTAATTTGCTTGGCAGAAAGACTTATTGCAAATGGAACTGTAGAGCTGATGAATATTTTTTTTTAAGGTCAATCCTGGATAAATGGAGAGATCAACATTTCCCAGAAGTAAGCAACTGGATCTTATTTTTTGTCGCAGCTCATTACAGAAACGGTGCCAGAAAAGTACAGTAATTTGTCACCCCCATTAGATTTCCAAGTGAAGAAACATGCAAATTATAATCCTAAATATCCAAAAGTTTTAGGGTCTCTAAACATATAGAGGATTAACTGCCTATAGAGCAGCTTCTTGGATATTTATTTTAAAAAATATACTACTGGCTCAGTAGAATATAATTGAGTGTATATAAGGATTGTAGCTTATAGCATAAGCCTTAGTAATATTATTTACAAAGATTTCATAACATTATGGCCAGCCAGCGCCCCCCCCCTCCGCTCCCTTCCCCCACACAATGCAGTGTAAAGACAGGCTACACCGGATTGCAGTTGAACTCTGCAGAAATTCTACTAACCAAAAGACAGTGCAGAATCCCATCTTGCTGGGAGCAGGGCAATGCAAAAATTGAATAAAAAACAATTTTAAAAAATCTCATTCTACCTTGTCTATTGTCCAGGGCAGATAAGAAATTATTCTGGAGAAACAGATTTTCCAATGGACATACTGTATGTCCATTTGTTCATGTGTATTTATTGCATTTTTATTGTAAAACATATATTTTATCCTTACCACATTCCTCAGAGGTGGGCAAAAGTAAAAAGGCATGCTTGCTCTAAAGACCTCATGCCTAGAATTAAAGGTAGTACAAAATGACTATAGATAGGACTGGGTAATACATTTCATGGCAGAACAAGGATTTGAACCCAGGCCTCTCTGCTAAATTCATGTTAATACTAACTATGTCAGCTGACTGGTGTTACGGGCACTAGATTGGAGAAATCTGTTGGTATAATAAATTCAGATATCAAGATTTAGGGAACATGTAAGCATAAAGAAAATAACTTACTCTCCGTTAGCCCAGTGAAAGGTACAATTTGTCTCGAGCGGATTTGCTTTTTATACTCGGAGCTGTGATTCATAACACTGAAGACTTTTAATGTGGTGGCTCTCTCTTTTGCACTATGCTTTTGAATAATGTCATCCACCTTTCCTTCAGGGTCAGGAGTGTCATCTTCTTTTTTAAGGCCTGGTGGGATGCAAAGAATAAGAACGTAAGAGAGTACATCATTTTACAGAAAGCAAAATTGGAACCAAATTATGGGAAAACTACTCACCTTCTCCAAAATTAATATTCTGCAAAACCAGAGTGATTGTTAAAATAAACCTGGAGAGGCAAAGTATGCACAGATGTTATTTCAGTGTGAAGAATGTAGGTGTGAGAAAAGGGCATTCAGCCCACCCCAAAAACTAGTACTATTAAAATTCATTGAATTTTACTACTGGATAATTATATTTAGGAAGGCAGACTTAATTACAGACAAAGCAATCTGATGCTAAATATGCTTAGGACAAAGTAGAGTAAAGTCAAATTGAATTGTCTGAGACTTCTTTCTAAGAGCAATACAATCCTAGGGTATGGTTAAGCCACTACAGCACGAAACATTATTATACATTATTATACATCGTTATAAGATCCCAGCTAAATAGTTCTATTCTTTTCTTTGTTACTGAGATAATTGCTTCAAAATCACATTTGTAGCCCTGTTACCAAAGCAAAGCACTGTATTATAAAAAGACAATAGCTCTGGAAATTATATTTTACTCTCACTAGAGCCAAAATGCGCAATATGTTATATCTCTTGCTTCTACATGGATTACAATTTTGCCTTTGTGTATATAAAGAATAGAAGATGCATGACTGAATACAACTCGATTATAAGGGTATCATAATGCAAACTTACCTGGTATTTTGCCTCCAATACATTTTCTTAAGATGTTTTTCTCCTTCAAGCCCACTTCAGTTCTAATGCTGTTTCCAAGTAAGTGTGGTCCAGACTGCTCACCCCAAAAAGGGATTAGGTGAAGTAATATAAGGAGAAGAACTTTTTTTTAAGCTGTTTCTCATTTCCTTCAGGGGCACATGCCTTCTAAATCTAGAAGCTCTTCTGTAGTTAGATTCTAAAGTGGGTTAGTTCCTACTCCTCCCCTCCATAAACACAACTTGCTGTGGGAGGAGTAATCTTTCACACACACAGCAGGAGGTTGAGCTTCTCCTTCCCAAGGAGTTTTCTAGCATTGGTCTTCAACTAGTAGGTTGGTACTGATAAATTGCCCTATTTTACAGTAAGAAGAAGAAGAAGAATGGGCCACTACCTTTGCCAATAATATTTCATTCTTGTTTGCATTGAGTTTTTAAGAGCAGGAGATGAAGATCAAGTATAAAGGAGGACAAGGCCTCTCTGCACTTTTAAATTGCGGAATAGTCCCCAGGCAGGTGAAGCTTAATATGCAACAGAGAGGAAAATGTCCTTTTCTATGTCCTTGTAAAAGACTCTTTGCCACTGGTTATCATAGAGATTCAGAAAGTTATTCCAGATATGATAATAAAATATGGCCATCATTTGGTCATAGTTCTGAAAAAGGTGACATGCTTTTCATCAAAGAAAAGGATGGTTCAAAACTTGATTATTTAGCCATCCATTTTTTTAATTAATATGAAGTGTTTTAAAAACACTTGTGGCTTGTCTTTTAAAAGGAGTTGCATAAAATATAAATTATGCACTCACAATTTTTTTGGACTTAAGAAAAACACACCAGAAATTGAACTGATCCTGATCTACAGTAGAATAATGGACCTGAAATGTACCATCCTCCCTCTTTTGTTTCTATTTCAGATCACTGAGCCCTCTGACATCTTGAGATTTCCCTTGAACCATGCCAGAATAAGGGAGAAACAGCTAAAGAAGACTTAAGAAGATATACAGACAAGGAGGGATTAGCTCTGGAGAGACTGAAGTTCAAGTTGTCCCTCAGCTATGGAAGCTTACTGGATGACTTTCAGCCAACCACCACTCAAGAACTACCTTGTAGGTTTCCCATATAAACTATCTTGAACTCCTAAAGTGTAGGGTTAAAATTTAACACATGTCAGGAGAAAACAGCAGAACATGTTTGTGCTGTGTGTAGCTACAGACATGGAAATGCTCAAAGACTTTATTTTGCTTGTGATTGAAAAATCAAACTGCCGTTTAAGAAACAGATACAGACTTAGTTAAACCTCAGTAGCTTTAAAATTCAATGTATCCTCAATTTAACTTGGGAAAACTGGGACTGAGAATCTGGGCATCATTTCAATAGGAACAACTTTCCCATAGTAGAATTCTGTCTGATGAATTATACTTGATGCATCTACAGGTAATCCTCAATTTACAACTGTTTGTTTAGTTCAAAGTTACAATGGTACGGAAAAAAATGACTTACGAGCATTTTCCACATGGCTGTTGCAGCATCCCTGTGATCACATGATCTAAATTAGGAGGTTTGGCAACTAGCTCATATTTATGACTGTTGCAGTGTCCTAGGGTCATGTGATCACTTTTTGTGAGTTTCTGACAAAGTCAATGGGGAAGCCAGATTCACTTAACAACCGTGTTACTAACTTAACAACTACAGTGATTCACTTAACAACTGTGGCAAGAAAGGTCATAAAATGAGGCAAAATTCACTTAACAAATGTGTCGCTTAGCAACATAAATGTTGGGCTCAATGGCGGTCGTAAATTGAGGACTACCTGTATATGTGGCATAGCCTGTCCCCCAAATTCCTAAAATAGTCACCAGTTGAAAGATTCTATTCTGGTTAGTTCACCTAAACAGTTGGTGGTTAGACCCAATGAATTTGGGGATAAAGAACTCCATGGGAACAGCCCACATATTTTTTTAAAAAAAATTAAATGTATATGCCACGTCATCTCACAACTGGGAGCTTAGTGTCCAACATTTAGAATATAGCAATGATTAAGAGACAGGAAACATGGAATTGATTCACCCAGAGTGTACCCATGCTTCCAAGTCTCCTACATTCAAAGAAAATAACCAAATATTTCCCATAGCAACACAATTCAGATTGTAATACATCTACAAAAAGCAGCAACAATAAAAGAAACAAAAGGCATTGTTAAAGAAAAAAAAAAACCCTGCAAGCTATAAAAAGGTGCATCCCAACATAGCTAATATTTTAAATGCCTTAAATGTAAAAAGGTACAGTCAGTTTGAGGGGTGGGAGGCAGTTATTTTTAATGTATTTTACCTTACAATAGATTTTTACTGTATGAATGCAAATTGGATACTTAAGGAAAGATACAGATCTCATTAGTTCAGATATTTTACATTTGTTTCTGTAATTTGGTAATGCAAATATAGGTAAATATTTGTTCAGTTCTTTGAGGATCTCAGGTTTTGGTTGCTGGGATAAGAGAAGTTTAAATCTATTTTAGTTTTATTTAATAAACCATTCTAGCCTCAGTTGTCTTCTCTTCGAAGTGAAAATAAGATTGAATTACTTTATTTCGAATTTGTGAGGATCAGATAATTGGCACAATTTCATTTTTAGAGAGCTAATCATGTAAGCCTTTTGCAACAAAACAACAAAATCTTGCAACAGTTTGAAGGTTAATGAATATGACATATATTCCCCTGGGTTTCCTCATTTTCCAGAAGAATTTTATGCTCAATTGGCAGCTAAGTATGCAGTAAGTGGAATAACAATCACCAGTGGGATCAGATGGCAATGGAATGCATAAAGTAGCCCATTGTATTTAGGAGACAGTGCTAGAAGCACCAACATTTTGGAAATAATGATCATTTGAATGTCCACATTTCCCTAGCTACATGCATCTTCCAGTTAATCAGCCAAATCATGAACTAATGAAATGGACTATAGTCTAACAATTCCTAGCCTTTTCCACTTCATGACCACTCTAGTGTTACTGAAAACTCCTGAGGAGCGCCACATAAACCAGATGATAGTAATTTGGAGTTCAAATATGCTGTTCTGATGTACAGCATTGTAACTCAAGGCCCACCAGCCGGATCTGGCCCATGGGGTGCTTAGATCTGGCCCGTGGGGCGACCCTGGAAACAGCGAAGGACCAGCCCACGGTGCCTCTGTCAGTGAAAACAGAGCTTGGGAAGGATGTGCACAGCCCTCCCAGGCCCTGTTTTTGGCTGTGATGGCCTCCTGCAGGCCTCTGCTAGCAAAACCAGAGCTCCATTTTCACTGTCAGAGGGTTGCAAGAGGCTGTTGCAGCCGAAAATGGGGCCCAGGGGGCACATGCGGCCCACCCGAGCTCCGTTTTTGCTGACAGAGAGCTGCAGGAGACCATCATGGCCAAAAAAGGAGCTCAGGAGCCCGTTTTGGCTGGCAGAGTGCTTGGGCCACCACAGGCACTCTGACACGAGTGATGTCAAGCTGACTATGTCCACCCTAGTCACCCCCCCACTCCCCAAGTTCAAACACAACCCTGATGCGGCCATCAATGAAATCAATTTTGACACCCCGATGTATAGTATTTGACAGCTCCTCAGTTGTCAATTACAAGATGACAATGTTACTTTAAAAAACACAAAAACAAACCAAAAATATTAAAAATGACCAATATGTTTTTAAACTGTCAAATCTTGCAAGATACATGATGATATCATTATGACCATTAGTTAGATATACAGTATATGACTGATAAAGGACTATTTTCTATATGTTCAGGAGTCATGGACTGTGAATTTGACATCATCGCTTACCCTTTAATAAAATATAGAATTATGTTTTTATTTTAATCTCTGAAGGGCAAAAGGCAGGGTTTTTTTACATTGTTAGACAAGTTTTATAGAAAGGCAGTTTATGGAATTCTACTTGTAAGAAAGCCTACTGAGCCTAAGTGAACTAACTTCGAGTTAACTATATATTAATTACCTTAGTAACATTTTCCAGAGCACCAGAAGGCAAGACAAGAAACAATGGATGTAAACTAACCAAGGAGAGAAGCATCCTCGAACCTAGAATTAAGCAGAAACTTCCTAACAGTGAGAACAATTAACCAGTGGAACAGCTTGCCTTCAGAAGTTGTGGGTGCTTCATTACTGGAAGCTTTTAAGAAGAGATTGGCAGCCACTTGTCTGAAATGGTATAGGAGGTACGATTTATAGACCTCCTAGGTCACTTCCAACTCTATTATTTTGCATTCTATTCTGCAATATATTTTCCTTATAATGTAGGGATGTAATAATAACAAAATCTTACTAGCACTTACTAGCTTCTTTAAATAATTACAAATGCATTCTGTCTTCCACCATGTCTGTTGACATCTCTTATAGAATATAATACTGTAGAATTTATTAAAAGGGATTTAAGAAAAGAATTAATATATTCTAATGTACATTATTTTGAGAATGAATCCTTTTAAATTGTGGGTCAAGTATCTAAGGCATTCATAGGGTTGGCATGTATAATTTATATAAAGTAGAAAAATAAGTTCATGAATAAACATGTATACGATTAATGCACAATTCTTAGATTACAGTCTGCTTAAACTTTCACAATCTGTGTAATTGCTGCTCATTGAGATATGTTGATCATCCTTTTCCATCACTGATCATTTGAAAGGAGGATGATCAACGTATCTCATTGAGAGGCAATTACACAGATTGCGAAAGTTTAAGCAGAATATAATCTAAGGATTGTTAAGGGAAATTTGGCTAGGTCCATGTATCCCTGCTTCTTAATGCCTGTAGACAGTTTCTGTTATTTTGCTACCTATCATCTTAAGAAATATAAGAACTGAACTCTCCTCAACATTCAAGATATGCATTTGCCCTTCATCATAAAATTGAAGAGGCAAAGCAAATGCCGAGTCAGAATAGTTATTCATTTTCAGAAAATGTAATCTTTCTTTAAATGCCATTTCTGAAATGGATATATTTCTAACGCAGACCTCAGTTCTATGTCAGCAGTAGAGAGAGGCAATGTAAGAAATATGAATGACATGTCACACCTCATGCCATTTGCTTAAGATCAGAAGTTTGCCTTAAGTGAAAGATCTAATGGTTTAGGCCACTGTAAATCAACTGAGAAATATTTCTCACCCTCTTGTCATGTGTCTTCCTC